TAATAAATTTCCAACATTTTGGTATAGTTTTTGTTAGGATTTAATTACTGTAAATATTTTTAATTTTAATTACAAGTCGTACTGATACGATGGGACACCCGATATATTAGTGTTATTACTAAGTTGTAAGCGAGCTAAATAAGCTAATGGCTGACTACGGCTAATACATTGATATTTCGAGTGAATATGGTAGTAAATTTCTCCATGCTTTTCTATAGTAACATTGTTTTTGCTATATTTTCCCACAATAATATTGTCCAGGTTTACATTAATTCTAAGTTGCCTAGGAACTTCTCTAATAGACTCACTGCTGTAGATTCCTCTATATCTAGGAACACTTTTTGCTTTTATAGGGTATAAGGTGACGCAATGGTAAATTAATATGGTATTTAATTAAAACAATAAATAAATTTCAGGCAAAAATATTTTCATAAAAACTACAAAATACTGATAATATTTAGAAATCATACATAAATTAAAAATAATTTTTGAAATTAATTGACAAAATTAATAATAATTTTAGACTATTTTTTATACACTAATTATGACTTCCCGTTAAACACATGTATCGCTTTCGTAGCCGTGTTTCCACATATCGCTTAAACACACGGACGAGTGAAACCGATAAAATAGCATCAGGGGCAAATTGGCGTTGGATATAATCATCCAGGTCAGTTTCCCGAAATAATCCTCCATTCCCTGATACCTGTCCATATACTTTAGTTCAAACGTATTCAATATCCATAGCGTTATGTTCAGTATCAGCGCAAACATAATCAACTCCCGGCCCGGTTTGAAGTGCAATAGCCCGGGTGAGTTGGAACACCTACGTAGGCCGTCCACTATGAACGGCGATTGCATGAGCACCTGGATTATTGTCAGCACNTACGTAGGCCGTCCACTATGAACGGCGATTGCATGAGCACCTGGATTATTGTCAGCACGTATACCACGATAAGTATGATACTAACTGGTGATCCATCATCTACTTCAGCCATTATTAACAAGGTGTAGTGTAGCATGAAAAATGGCACCGGTATTAACACCAGTAGGTCGTCCATAAGCATCTTATTGCTGTCAAAATGCTCGGGACATACGACATCCAGGCGCCGGGTTTTACAGTAGGCAATGGGTATTATGACACACCCTATGAGAGTGGTTATGGATATCTGTGCCGAGTATAGGCTGATCCCGAAGTAGTCGTAGGACTGAGTGGCGAAGAATATGATGATTGTGACGGAAGTGGCCAATAGGGCTGTTAGCCCGCAAAATAGACCCCGATTACTGGCGTGACATTGGGTGCCAATTGACATTGTACTCCAAGTGTCCGGGTCAGTTTGTGCCTGTTGCTCAATGTTGGATATATGGGTTTGACTGACCGACTTGTTTATGGTATGCTGGCATTTGTTAGGTGTCGATTTGCCTGATAAGTTTAATTTAATATAATCATGGATTAGATATTTATAAAGGTAATGTCCATAGTTTACTAAATGTCAATATAATTTGATGAAATTAACAAAGTAAAATAAGCTTTATAAATGGTATATAAATATCTAAAAATTATTTTTGTAACTTAAATAGTTAAAAAGTTATTCAGGTTTAAAAATTTAAGAATTTCTACCGTTTCTCGTATATTTCCAGACTAATTTTTCAGCTATTTTTTCAATTTTTACTAATCCACTAAATCGATTCCCCATTGAAAAATAAAATGTCAATTTTTAAAAACAATCAATTACGTCTTGCCGTAACTTTGTTATTTATGGTCAGAAAAATTTTAGACTGAGAATTTTAGTATCAGCATTAAAAATAATGTTATTTAAAATTATTCTCATACAAAAATAGCGTACTTGTTAGAAACGTAATTTATGGATTTTGTTTTCTTAAAATTATTTTTTGATGAGGAATTGATCTAGGGCATAAATCCAATTTGTGAAAAATTGTGCATGTCAAAAATTTTAATTTTCAAATATCACCGTATTGCCATAAAAAACTCAAGAGTTTCTCTTCATTAACTTAAAGTAGCCTACTGAAGCTATTAAAATAACTTTTCATACTCTTGAGTCTTTCATGGCAATACCATTGAATTCAAGTTTCTATTTTTTAAACATCATATTCTGGTACAAGTTAAATGTTTTTAAAATTATTTTTGAATAGAATCAACAAAGCCTATATCTATATATAATTTAGTGAAAAAACTAATTAAAAATATCGTGTAGTTTTCATTTAATTTAGTTTTGAAATATAAGAATAAAAACCAGTATAACTCATTAATCATTACAGTTAGAATAATAATTTTTTCTTTATTTTCCATTAAAAACTTCATATATTTTTATGGTAATACTAAAAATAATTGATTTAAACATAAGTTTTCAAGTTTGACATCATCTTTACTATTTTTATGTATTAAAGTGAGATTTTTAAAAATAGATATGTAATTCTATAATTAATATAAATCCTTTTAGTTGTATTATAAATATGGGCTAGTTAAAATTATTTTAATATGCAAATAATGAATTGTAAATGTAGATTATTAGAATTATTATTATAAAATATTACTTATATTTTTATTAAATTGGACTATAACACGACGAATTACTTTTATTTTAAAATAAATACCAACCTATATTAATCCAGCACATGAACCAAATGGAGGCCATAATTATATTAAACTCGATCGTAAACGGATATAAGTAAGGTAATATAGACATTGATTTCGCGCTAATAACCGCTTTATCCAGGCAATATATTTCATGCTCCATGTATTCCGGAAAAATAAGTTCACGGGTGAGATTATTAATATTATCATTATGTATATTATCCACGTAGTCATCCATAGCCTCACTGATAATAGTCCTGAACCACGAGGACAGTGTGGTGGCCAACAAATGCATCAAGGCAAATCTGCTCAGGATTGGGTATCTGTTTATAATGATCTGTCAATTAAATGGCAATTATTATCCTGGTCAATATGTTAAATAATAAATTTGTTGGGCTTACGTTTGAATACTTAAAAGCAATGAACAGCTGATAAAATGAGAATACTATCCGTACGGACATACTTATGGTTCGTATGGTATCCCCGCACTCGTGGTAACCACTGATGTGAAAGTATATCTGACTGAACACCTGGATGCCCATGTGCACGATGCTCCCGAAACAAAATACTAGTTTGAACAAAGTAGAAAAGGTTATATTAGATTATTATTTTGTTTAATTAATGTATGATACACATTATGTTGTTGTTTAGTAGTGGAAATTAATTTTTAAAAATTATAAATTAAACTTTTACAGTTTGACTCCTTGTTATCTTATAGATAGCTTATAGTTAAAATTTTATTAAAATTTTTAATTTTAAATATAAATCTGAAATGATATTTAAACCACCTTTTTAGTTACACGTTTTAAATTAATCTCAAATAAATTATAAATTAAAAATTACTGTTTATAGAATAGTTTAATTTGCATGCTTTACAACTATTGACAATACTATTATTCATATTAATAATAAAATTATATTAATACCTGTAATCTCACATCTCACATTTTCCAGAATATTTGATAATTTTTAAAAATTCTTATTTAAACATGAACAGTTTATTAATTCAAGCAGTTTGATTCATTTGGAACTAACAATAGTTTTTTGTAAAAATATTTTTAAAGCCTTGTCGTAAAAATCACTAATATAATTATTTGTTTTAAATTAATTATAAATAATTCAAACATAAAAAATTACTGTTTATAAAATAATTAATTAATCTAGTAAGCTATACTATTAGATTATAAAGTTTAAAATGTAAACTATGTTCATACTGAACTAATATTGTTATGCTAAATTAATTTATACCTGTGATTCCACATCGCAGATAAATATTTCCCGATTCCTTGCCCTTGATAAAATCGTACCCAGATCCATTGCTAAATTTGCCAGTTGCATTTTCTTCTTCGGATATAGACTTTTGCAGTTTATTGAACACAACTACTGTTGATATACTGTTAGCCCGATCGCGACGTTTTCGGTAATGATTCATAAGTTTTTGTTCATTTTTAAGCTTGGTGATATACTTGATTGCCCAACGTTTGTACCGGATTATATCTTGATGCAAAAACACTAGCCATATGCAACTTACTACTGTTAGTGTTATCATAAATATACTAGTTCTATTAGGGTGCTTATCAAACAGGTCAACTATGCAAATAACGACCGCGATTAGTATAATAACCATGGCGTATAATATGGATAAAAATTTGGCGTTGCGTGTTTTAATATTTGCATAATTATAATGTGTACTTCTTAATACGTTACTAT